ATCGCAGCCTCCTGAGTAGCTAAGATTACAGGCCTGAGCCATCAGCACCCAGCCTGTTTTCTGTTTGTTTTCCTCAAGGCTCACTCTCTACCACTTGAGCTGTAGGCACCACTTCTAGCTTTTTCTGTGTATGTGGTACTGAGGAATCAAACTCAGGGCTTCCTGCATGCTAGGCAAGCGCTCTACCACTAAGCCGCATTCCTAGCTCCTCAGCTTGTGTTTTAATAACATGGGGAAAAATTGAAGGTGTGTGTGTGCACGTGTGCGTGAGTGCATGTGTGTGTGTGTGTGTGCAAGCATACACACGCACCCACCCACTGTTATCCGAACCCAGAGCCTAGCACTTGCTAGACCAGTTTTCTACCACTTGAGCCATGCCCCCTGCTCTCCTCTTTTCTGAGTTATAGGAGACATTATTGTTCATTATATTCCACCTGGTGTGTCAGAGAAAAACAGAACTTGCCCCTTCTCTCTAGTGATTACCTGCTACCAGTTGGTTGACCTCTGCGCCCCCCCTACAGATTCTTTCACCGTGTCTGAAAATGTCTGGTGTGTGCACAAGATACTCGGTAATGATTAAAGTCTCTCCATGAATCTCTTGTGACCAGTTTTTCTGGAGCAGTAAGCTTCAGAAATACAAGTCTGGCCTGCTTCGTGGGCAGTGTGTATTTGTTTTGGATAAATCTCTTAACTGTTTTTATGAGAGCATTCACCCTCAGAGGGAAACAAACAGCCCCCCACCTGCCCCAGGGGAGAGGATGGGCGAAGACACCTGCGCCCTGTTGTGAGCAGGGACAGAAGTCAGGGTAACTGACACCAGGGCGGAGGAGCAGAAGACAAGCTGACGGCCTTCCCTCCACTCCTGAGGCCAGCCAGAGCAGTTCTGTGCTCACGCAGGAAACCCAGCCTAGGACAGCTTGGGGGCTCGAATTGGAGCCTTGAGTGGGAAGTGCTGGGGTGATTCTGCTTGGCAAACACTAAGACTCAATAAATATGTGTGGAAAGGATGCATTGGGCTGGACGTTAGTGGCTCACACCTGTAATCCTACCTGAGGATCACAGTTCAAAGCCACCTGGGCAAGCAAAGATATTGAGACTCTTATCTCCAATTAACCACCAGAAAACTGGAAGTGGCATTGTGGCTCAAGTAGTAGAGCACTCGTCTTGAGCTAAAGAGCGCAGGGATAGCGCCCAGGCCCAGAGGTCAGACCCCACAAACTGACAAAAGAATGAATTGGGGGCTGGGAAGGTGGCTCAGTGGTAGAGCGCTTGCCTTGCATGCATGAGGCCCTGGGTTCGATTCCTCAGCACCACATAAGCAAAAAGAAAAAAGCCAGTAGTGGCGCTGTGGCTCAAGTGGTAGAGCGCTAGCCTTGAGCTGAAGAGCTGAGGGACAATGCCCAGGCCCAGAGTTCAGGCCCCACGACTGGACCCCCCCCACCAAAAAAAAAAAGAAAAAAAAAAAGAATGAATTGGTTGGGTGCAGGTGGATCATGCCTGTAATCTTAGCTACTCAGGAGGCTGAGATTTGAGAATCACAGTTGGAAGTGAATCTAGGCAGGTAAGTCTGTGAGACTCCTATCTCCAAATAACCAGCAAAAAGCTGGAAGTAGAAGAGTAACTCAAGTGGTAGAGCATTAGCCTTGAGTGAAAAAACCCCACAACTATTGAGAGCCAAGGCCTTGAATTCAAGCCCCAGGCACACACAAAAATAAAGAAAAGAAGGGAAGGAAAGAAGGAAGGAAGGAGGGAGGGAGGGAAGGAGGGAAGAGAAGGAAAGAGGGAGGGAAGAAGAAAAAAGGAAAGACAAATGAGTTTCAGAACATGGTTAAAGAGGCAGCAAATCCAAAAGGTTGGGTTATCTTATTTCTATAGAAAATTAGCCTCTTTTCCTTTTTTTTCTTTTCTTCTCTCAGTACTGGGGCTTATCTCTGGGTCCAGGCCCTATCCCTTAGCTTTTAACGCTTAAGGATGGTGCTCTACCACTTGACCCACACATCTACTTCTGGTCTTTTGCTGGTTAGTTGGAGATAAGAGTCTCATGAACTTTCCTACTCAGACTGGATTTGAGCCTCCATCCTCAGATCTCAGCCTCCTGAGTGGCTAAGGTATGAGCCACTAGCACTTGGTTTTAACCACTTTTCCCAGCAATAACTCATAGTGTAGAGCTCATGACAATCATATGTGAGGCCTTAGATTGAATTCCAGCACTGAAAAACACACACCAAATAACTCCCTCATCTGTAGGTGTGATGGAAGGAATCCATCAGCTCTTTAGAATGCAATTTTCTTTTTTTCAAAATAACCTGAGCAAGAAGGAAAACCAAAACAAGTAAGACCAAATAAGAATATGGGCTATGAGTGTTTTCATAGCCTGGAAAGCAGACAGAAGCGAGCAGGTGCAGCTGTGAGCAGACCCCAGGGGAAGCATGCGCACATGGTTGTGTATAGACCCAGGGGAGCGTGTGGTTGTGTACCGCCGGCTTGAAACCTTTGACCTTGGACTCCTTTCTTAACATGGGGGGGCTGGTAGATGTGAAAGGCTTTGTTAAGAATTTCCCAAGAACCAAATAAATACAATCTCACCGAGAGAGAAACTTTTGTACTACTTAGTGATACATTTTCAAATGTGCGGACTTTAATCATGATCAAATAGCACTTTTCTTCTTTTGATGTGTGGGGATGGAACTGAAGGCCTCATGCCTCGGTGTGTGCTCTGCCGCTGGGCTACTTGGTCCCAGAGATCCAGATCAGCTTCCATAGCAATTCTAAACTCTTACCATCCTCCGGGAGACCCAGAACACCTCTTCCACTGTGGAAGAGAAAACTAGTGGAAAGCATCTTATAGAAGGGATGAGGCTTTCACTTTCAGTGCTGTGGTTAAGCTTGGACTTTGATATGTTTTGTTTCCTGACTTCCCTCCTTCCCTCCCTCCTTCCATCTCTGTCTCTCTCTCTTAGTTTTAGTACTGGACTGGGCACTGTCTTTTCCGTTCTACCCTTCGAGCCACAGCTCTGCTTCCAGCTATTTTTGCCAGTTAATTGAAGAGTCTCACCGACTTTCCTACCCAGGCTGGCTTTGAACCGTAATCTTCAGATCTCAGCCTCTTGAGTAGCTGGGATTCTAGGCACTGAGCCATGCTTAGCTGTTTTTCTTGAGACAAGTTAGCATAGTGCAGGCTGGTTCCACACTCGAGATCCTTTTGAGTCAAAGTATATGCTACTCTGCCCAGCCCACTTGATTGGATTTCTCTGGGCCTGTTCCCCTCCCCATCTCCACTGATGAAACAAAAACGATCATTTGTACACCACAGAGGCAACAAACGTGCCCTGAATAGAACTGGTATGTAGTAAAAGTGCTAATGTTTCCTAAGGAGTATTTAAAAGAAGTTAAAAATGAATGAAATGCTTCTAAAGTCCTAAAACCAACTAGCTTGCCAATCTATTTCTACTAGGATAAATTCCAATGAGGCACTGGTAGCTCATGCCTGTAATCTTAGCTACTCAGGAGGCTGAGATCTGACTGTCACTATTCAAATCAGACAAACCCAAGGGACTCCTCTCTCCAATCAACCAGCACCAAAACACACACACACACACACACACACACACACACACACACACACACACACACACACACACACACACACAGCCCAAAGTGGGGATGTGGTTTTAGCTGTAGAGCACCAGCCTCAAATACAAAAGCTAAGAGAGCTTGCAAGGTTCTGAATTCAAGCCCTCATACCAGCACAAAGCAGAGGGTTAAATTCCAGAGAAACCGGCCTTCCTGTATACCTTCAACAAAAAATGGCTAGGTTAAAGAAAATAAACTTTGTGTTGGATAACTCACGCTTCCCAAGCTGTCCTTCAACTTCATACAACGACCCAGGCAGAAAATACACAACTCGCTACTAATTTATGTTGCATCTGGGGATGGGCCCTGGTGTGTAGTGTCAGTGTTTGCACACGTTCTTCATTTTTCACGGGGATTCCACTCTGTGGAAATCGGGGGCTCGGCGGCCAGGTACAATTGGAATATTTTGTTTTTTTTTTCTTTCAGCCTCAGCACATTCATGCTTCTGGGTCCAACAATTCAGCTAAAAATTGAATTTAGTTCCAGTATTGATGGACTGCCTGCTACGTTCGTGGGATGCCTATTTTATTTAAGAGGATGAAGAACTGGAGTCCTGTTGGCGGCTGGCCTTCCACCTCTTCTTTCTCCTTTGAAAATCCGTAGGACCAAGGAACAACCCATGTACCTCCTCCTAGCATCACGCGAGAGAGGCCTGGTAACCTTGAAAGGCCAGGCCCATTTCCAGTAAGAGCCTCATTTTCCCCCAGTGTCCCCGGGGGAAGGGGGGGAAGGAGGGGTGGGGGCAGAGCCTGGCAGATGGCCTCGTCTGACCTCAGTGGCCCAGGAGGAAGGGCGGCCGGGCTCACCTCATGGGTGTCTGGCCTGACGGTAACCACCGCGGTTCCCAGCCCCAGCCGGTGATCCGCCTTTCCTAGGGTCAGGCCTGGGCCTCAGCCTTTCTCCAGGCTGCGAGGAGAGGCGCGGGAACAAATGTTTACAATCAAACCCGACCTGCAGGGAAGCAAATGGGGGTGAGTTTTGGGGCGGTGGGGGGGGGGGTCTGGGTTCCCTCCCGGGCTGTGGACCGGGTTATCAATCCTGGGAGGGGCTCAGGTCTGGCTCTCCCCAGGCCCCCCCACCCCGCCCCCGGGCAGCTTTGGGCCCCAGGTCTCTCAGGCCGGTGCCCCCTCCCCGCCCCCTTTCGCAGCCCCGGTGCCTGATTCCGAAGGGGAGGCGCCTGGGGTCGCTAGATCGGGGTGCAGCCTGCGTCCCGGCGGCGGGGGCGGGGGGGGGGGCGGCGCTGCGAGGCGTGTCCGGCTGCGCCCATGTGATGGAGCTGGGAGAAGCGGGCGGGGGAGGCGGCGGGGAGGTGGTGGCTTGCTTTTTTTTTTCTTTTAAGGAGTTTGCCGCGAGGCCGGCGCTTCAGTCGCCCGAGGAGCGTGGAGAGGAAGCCTGGGACCCGCCGCCGAGCGCGCGTCGTCGTCTTCTGGCTTCGGCCCGGCTCCCCGCGGTTGGATCGAGGCGTAGAACCGGAGCCCGGGAGCCATGGGCGCGGGGAGCTCCGCCGAGCAGCGCAGCCCCGAGCAGCCGCCGGCCGGGAGCCCCACGCCGGCCGAGCTCGAGCCCTGCGCCCCCGCGGTGGAGGCGCCGGCCGCGGCCGGGGACCCCGCCATCGCCACCGCCGCCGACCCGGCCGCCAAGGTAGGCGCGCGCGCGCGCGGGGCCACCTGCCCGGGGTGTGTGTGCGTGTGTGCGCGCGCGTGTTGGGGGTGCTGTCGGGGTCCCCCCACCCCCCACCCCGATCGCCGCCGGCGAGAACTTCCCGAGCGGCCAGCGCATCCGCGAATCGGAGGGCGGGATCCCCTCTTCGCAGGGTTTTCGGGGTCCCGGGCGCCGGGGCGGGGCCGGCGCCGGAGCCGCAGCGAGCGCGCGCGCCGCGGGGACTTGCATCTTTGTCGGGGGGTCTCTTCCCGGGGGAAAGGGAGGCGACCGCGCCATCCGCAGCCGTCCACCCCGCCCCCCGCCCGCCCGCCCGCCCGCCCGCCGCTCCTCCCGCCTGGCTCCGCGGGGCAGAGAGGATGGGCCACGCCGGGCACCGGTGCGGACCTGGCCGCATCGGGAGCAGCGCCCCTCCGCGCCCCGCCCCGCTCCCCAATCCCTGGGGCTGAAAGGCCCGGGGCGGGGCGGGGTGGGGTGCAGCGGACTCGGGTCCGGTACCCGGCTCCCGCGCCGCCCCGGGGACGCCTGCCTGCCCGGTGCGGGGCCGGGGCACAGCCCGATCGCGGCCCCGGAAACCCTCTGCCCGAGCCGTGGGCAATGGGCGCCCGGGCTGCCCGGCCCCAGGGCTGGCTCGGTGGGATACGCGAACGCGGAGGGGCCGTGGGAAGTTCTCCCTACCCCACAGCCCCCGGCCCCGGGACGCGGCTGCGGGCGCGCGCCCCCCCCCCCCCCCCCCCCGCCGCGGCCACTGCGGCCACTGCGGCCGCCACCGGTGGCCCGGGCCCTGCACCAGCGAGTCTTCACCCGCCGGCCTTCGAGAAGGATGGGGGTGGGGGGGAGCCACGCCTCGTACTCGTCCCAGGCGGTGGGGGTCGGAGTGAGGAGACAATTCAGGAAGCCGGCGCGCGTTTCCACGTGAGACAGACGAGGTGCGATCTTGGTGACATTTCACGGATCTGTGACCTCGTTCCCCTGACCTCTTTAGCCGCCCTGGTCTAATCTGGTCTGAGAGACAGCTCTATTCAAGAAAATATATGTGCGTGTATATGCACCATTAAAAGTTATTATTATTGTTATTGTTGTTATTATTAGATAGGGTCTAAGCCTCCCTGGCCTGGACTCAAGTCCTCTTGCCTAAGTGACCCGATTACAGGCATGCACTACCACGCCCAGCTTGCAGTTTTTCTCCAGTTTTCAACTCATAACTGCTCTTCAAAACCCATGGTCCCCTACCACACTTAACTATCTGTGCCTCTAACAGATGCCTAAGCTTCTGGTCTATAGAATCTATACATTCTTTATGAGGTCTTAAGTCTCATAATACTTCATGGATTTAGATGCCAGCTACAGTCTCAGTGACTCTGGTGTAGAGCTACTCTTGTAGGATATGATTTTTAAAAGCATAATCGCTCAAAACTTACAACTGGGGCCGTCTTTTTTCTTAGGCTTTTATATGAATCCTTCAAGCCTTATTAAGCATTGACCCTGAAATACAGAAGTCATGCCATGTCCTTCCCAATAAACGCATTTGCTTACTGTACAATATTCCTTTCCATTCTTTCCTCTATTATTTCTTCCCATAATGGCATCTCAGCCAGCCACCATCTTGAAGCATTGAACCAGGTCTCCTTGAAAAGATTACTTAAATGATATCCATGATGTCGTTGAACTTGGCATACTTCCCAGTTATCAATTTGGAGACAAATCAATACACTTACATAGCTCCTTAGATTATAGGTTGGGTTTCATTTCAACTAGCGGAACTTGGTAGTCAGGCAAGGACTTCATTCCGTATGACTCAGCACACATAATAAGTTCTTGTCTCTTCTGACTCTTAAGTACTCCTGTCTGCCATCCTGGCCACTGGTTAGTGTCTTTGGCCTTTCCCAGCTGCTTGCACATCTGGGGTTTAGTGGCTTTGACTAATAGGTGTTCCCCAGGCAAGGAACTTAGCTGGCTGCCATCCCAAGCTGTTCCCCTAGGCGTGGTATTACCTTACACACGGTGGGCTCTCAGTAAACATTTGTGGAAAGAAATGCTTGCTAGTGGCTCTCTGCTTTTCACTGGAGACTATCAAATTTGGAAACATGGTGTCTTATCTCTACTTTTTCTTTGTCTTTTTCTTTTTTTGTCGATCGTGGGGGACGGGGGCTGAACTCTGGGCCTGGGCACTGCCCCTCAGCTCTTCAGCTCAAGGCTAGTGCTCTACCATTTGAGCCACAGCACCACTTCCGGCTTTTTTTGCTTATGTGGTGCTGAGGAATCGAACCCAGGGCCTCATGCATGCAAAGCAAACACTCTGCTGCTGAGCCACCTTCCAAGACCCTATTTCTACTTTTTCTATTGAACCTTTTAACTTTTTTTTTTTTTTTTTGGTCGGTCATGGGGCTTGAACTCTGGGCCTGGGTGTTGTCCCTCAGCTCTTCAGCTCAAGGAGAGTGCTCTACCACTTGAGCCACAGCACCATTTCCAGTGGTTAATTGGTGATAAGAGTCTCACAGACTTTCCTGCCCAGGATGGCTTTGAACCGTGATCCTCAGATCTCAGCCTCCTGAGTAGCTAGGTGTGAGTCACTGGTGCCAGGTGAACCTTTGAACTTCTTATTATTAATAGTTTTGAGTATTGGATCCTGACTGCATCCTCAGTCTAGTTATTAATAGAGGAAGTGAATGATTTGGAAAGAAACTCGGTTGGGATGATTGGGGCTTGGGTTTCTATATCTTTAGAAATTGAGTGGCTTGCTGGAAGTGGAGCTGTGGCTCAAGTGGTAGAGTGCTGTCCTTGAGCAGAAGAAGCTCAGGGACAGTGCCTAGGTCCTAAGTTCAAGCCCCAGGACTGGAACCGAAAGAGTAAAAGTGTGTGTGGTTTGTGAGCATTGAAGTTTCAAAATGCTTCTAGTCTCATAGAGACAAATGGATTGAAAACAAATGACTGAGAAGGAGCCGAGTCCTACAGGAGCTCTGCTCCTCATCCTGAACTTGATTGGTAGATGAGGACAATGGGTGGTGATTTAGTCTACAAGATGTCTTTTCCCCTTCTTGGATATAATCTTCAACTAAACACTGTTAGCAGAATTTTCACTAATACCTAGTACTACTACTTTATGTGCTCTCTACGTAGCAAATCTAGTTTACTTTACTTTCTTTCTGTTTACTTTCAGTTGGGTTGCTGGGATCTAACCCAGGACCTAGGGCTTAAAGTTGAGCACAGGCTGCCTGGCTGAGCTATGCCCAGCCCCTTTTCTCCTTAACTACCATTATCTCAACAGATGACATGTGATTGGAAAATTCTCTCTCTCTCTGTCTCTGTCTCTGTCTTGTCTCTGCCTCTGTCTCTTGTGCCCGTCATGGGACTTGAACTTAGGCCCTGGGCACTGTCTCTAAGCTTTTAGGCTGAAGGCTAGCACTCTACCACCTGAACATCAGTTCTACTTTCAGCTTTTTGATGGTTAATTGGAGGTAAGAATCTTATGGACTTTCCCACCTCAGCTGTCTTCAACCTGAGATCCTCTGATCTCTCCTTCTTCAGTAGCTAGGATTACAGGCGTGAGTCAAATGGAGATTTAAACTTTTATTTATTTATTTTATTTCTGCCAGTCCTGTGACTTGAACTCAGGGCCTGGGCACTGTCCCTGAGCTTCTTTTGCTCAAGGCTAGCACTCTACCACTTGAGCCACAGTGCCACTTTCACTTTTTTCTGTGTATGTGGTACTGAGGAATCGAACCCAGGGCTTCATGCATGCTAGGTAAGCACCCTACCACTAAGCTACATTCCCAGCCCCGAGAGTTAAGCTTTTAATTACTCAAGTTTAACACAAATTCATAGAGGAAGAAGTCCTGGTTTTATCTATGGTGCATTTCAATGAAATAGAATGATCCAGCTGAGTACAGCCTGTTACCATAGCTACTCTGGAGGCTGAGATCTGAGGATTGTGGTTTGAAGCCAGCCAACGTAGGAAAGGCTGTGAGAGTCTTATCTCCAATTAACTGGCAAAAAGCTAGAAGTGGAGTTGTGGCTCAAGTGGTAGAGCAAAAGAAGTTCAGGGACAGTGCCCAGACCCTGAGTTCAAGCCCCAGGACTGGCAAAGGAAAAAAAAGAAAACAAAGAAAAGAAAAAGAAAGAAAGAAACGAATGTACTGTAGTTTATCTTTATATCTAAATGTAAGCTCTGTGGGTGAGGTAAAGGAGGAGGATGGCTTGATCTGTTCAGTTCTTAGGGTTTAAACCTGGCCATTTTGGCCATTGTTGGGAGCAGAAAAGATTAGCTTCACTTTACCTCAGTTGTCTGTGTGTGTGTGTGTATTTTGTTGTTGGTTGGTTGTTTTTATGTTTTATTTATTTATTGACAGTCCTGAGCCTTGAATTCAGGGCCTGGGCTCTGTCCCTGAGCCTCTCTCTGCTCAAGGCTAGAGCTCTCCCACTGAAGCCATGGCACCGCTTCCAGCTTTTTCTGTGTGTGTGGTACTGAGGAATCAAATGCAAGGCTTCACGCATGCTGGGCAAGCACTCTACCACCAAGCCACATTCCCAGCCCGTTTTTGTTTTTGTTTGTTTTGCTTTTGAAACAAAGTGTCACTATTCAACCCAGGCTAGTCTAAACTCTCTATGTAGTCCAGACTGACCTCAAACCCAGTCCTCCTGCTGCTGCCTCCTGTACCCTCCTATCCCCCCCATCCCCTCACCCTCTTAACCCCTTACCCCCCTGCTAGGATTATAGTCACATAGCTATCTGTGTGTGTGTGTGTGTGTGTGTGTGTGTGTATGTGTGTGTGCCATTCCTAGGACTTGAACTCAGCATGAACTCAGCCATCCACCTGAGACTTGAATTCAATGCATCTGCTCAAGCTGGCTTTGAATCATGATCCTCAGATCTCACCCTTCTTCATAGCTACGATTACCGACATAAGTCACCAGAACCTGGCCTGAATGATCCTTTCTGTATTTTCTGTTTGATCCGGGATTTCAAAGCTAAACCTGGAACC